GTACAGGGGGAAAGAACCAGGAAGAGGACAGAAAGTGATAGAAAAAGTACAGGCCTTATAATGGTCTTTTATCAGGTTTTAGTGGAAACAATAAGGGTGATTTTGGAGTTAATCATAAAGCATTGTTTTTATGTAGTGGTCTGCAAAACTTTATGGTATAAATAAAGCTGTTTGGGAGAACTCAGCAGAGATTGCTTCCACCAGAACATCTCCCGTGTCTGTCTCGTCTGTGTTCGCCGACTCCACACTTCCTTCAGGTATCCAGTTCAACCCTCCCTCCCGGAGCTGGACTCTGACAAGTACCAACAAGGGGTCACCATCAAGCTGTGGCGTGAATAACAGGCTAGACTCCACACCTATACTTTTACGTCTTTTCAAATTGGCATGAAATTATGTAACTACTACACCATTGGACCCAACAATCACATTAACAGATACTTTATCTGAATAAAATTTATACCTTACCTTCCTATGAGAAGGTGCATGATAATGCTTCTAGTGGCTCTACATATAATCACAAAACTTAGAAACAACCCGAATGACCCTCAACTGGAAAATGGATAAACCTGCTGTGTTAGTCTGGATAGACTAGAGAAACAACTTCATAAAAACACTCATATGTGTATAAGAAAGAGGTTTATATAAAGAGCAATTGTACATTAAGAAAACATCTCAGCTCAGTCCAGATCAAGTCCATCGGTCTGATTTTAGCCCATATGTTCATTATAAATCTATAAAGTCCTCTTCAGACTCACAAAACACATGCAATGACCCAAATGCAGGAAGATCACAGGCCAGTGGGTGGAAGGTCTTGTGGATCCAGTGGTGTTGTAATCATCTCAGCGCTGGCAGGGGTCTCCACATGGTTCCTCCAGTTCAGGGCACTAACATAGTGTCTTGTCAGCAGCAATATCTCCCACAGAGTAAGCAGAGAGAAAGTGTCTCCCGCCTCCAAGGAGGAATACAGGACTTCCCAGAATTCTCAGGAGAAGGTCATGCCCACCCAGAGGTATCACTCTATGACCAGACTATAACTAGGCTATGACCTAATTGAGTCCTTCATTCTTAATCCTCTCAAATTGAAAAATGATTATATAACTACCACACCTGTGCTGGCACATTCCTGAATCCAGCCCTCCTCTCAAGGACAGAGAGTGAACTGCTGATTCGAGCAAGGGTACACATGCCTCTCAGATGCACCTCTCTAAGCGAAAGCAGCCAAAGCTCCATACTATGGGATGCTATCCCTGTGGCATTCTTGCCAAAGCCAGCAACAGGAATAGAAGTCAGCTCTGTGGTAGATATGGACTGGTGGGCGGGATCCGGAGGGTGGGGTATAGAGGAGAGGTGACTGCGAAAGAATACTGGAAGAGAGAACATGGTGAAAAAAGTCAATGTCAAGTAGAAAACAACACACACAAAAAATGAACCGTGTAAACTGATAAAACAAAAATAACTTTAAAATTATTAAGGCAATATTAAAGACATCTTTGGCAAGACTGAAAAGAATATAAAGAGACAACCCCACCGCTGTTTGGATTTTCTGAATTAAAAGAAGAGGAAGGGTAGGTACCTGCAGGCACTCTTGCCACCTGCTAGCTGAGTCCTGGAGAGGCTGAGTGGATTCCAGAACTTTCTTTGACTGAAGATGGGCGTGGAGACTCACAGGAAAAGAGTAAGAGAAGAAGGCTCAAAGAGCGGAAAGCAGGGTGGTGGACAGGCAGGACCATCCTAGCCTGAGGATGGGAGGGGACCATGGCAGCCTGACTGTGCAGAAGGCACTGGGGGCGATGGGGTTTCTTCAGTGTGCTCTGGGAAGGGAGGGCCGGTCCCACATGCTGCCGCTGTGACTCAGCCTGAGTCCTGACACCAGCCCTGGGCATGGGGTCCAATGCAAGCAAGCATCTGTCTCTTTCCAACTCCCTTCTCTCAGGGCTGGTCTTGTTCCAGCTTACGGTGACCCGAGGGGCCACTCAGGAGCACGGCCATGGGCTGGGGAGGAGCAAAGGGCAGCCCCACAGAGCCAGACCTCAGCTTGTCCTGGAGGACAGCCAGGGCTGACTGAGGCTCAGCTCTTCTAGTCTCAAGGCTCTGCCTGAGGACAGGGCCAGTGTGGGGGTCAGGGCTGCAGCTACAGCTCCTCAAAGGCTCTGCAGCTTCCGAGGACCTTGGAGGAGTTACAGCTTCTTGTGGCCCCAGGAAATCCCAAGAGAGGATGCAGAGAAGAGAGGGGCAGAGAGAGAGAGAAGGTTGGGGGGTAACAG